ATAAATTTAATCCAATTAATCTGAAATACATTAAACTACTCGGAATTTGTAATAATAAATTCTGTTTGTAATAATAATAATAATAATAATAATAATAATAATAATAATAATAGTAATAGTATTAATAATAATAGTATTAATAAAAGTGATAATAATAATAACAATAATAATAGCATTAATAATAATAATAATAATAATAATAATAATAATAATAATAATAATAATAATAATAATAATGATAATAATAATAATAATAATAATAATAATAATAATAATAATAATAATAATAATAATAATAATAATAGTAATTTGAGATAATAAAACAATTTCAATTTGTGGAATTTGTGATAATTGATATAATAATAATATGAGATAACAAAAAAAAACAAACAAACAATTTCAACAATTTCAATGTCATCTTAAAATTCATTAAAAATATATCGAAATATAATTGTAGTCAAATTTTTTTCAAGTTTTAAATTTTTAATTAAAATTATATTTTAAAGATATGCTAGTAAATTAATCGTATTCACGTGTAAATTAAATTATGAAAATTAAAGAGAAACCTGTGGAATTAATGTGTATAGATCAGCAATAATTCTTTTATTGTATAAACGTGAGCTATTACGTCGATTTGCTTCCGGTACAATAAGCTAAAATAAATTTTCACTTCAAAATTTTTAAATTTTACATCGAAATATATAAAATTTGTAAAATGTGAAGGATTGCCTTACCTATTAGAATATTATATACTCATATGTTAAGTTAAAATTTATCGAAATATGATTGTATTTAAAGTTTAAATCATTCAAATTACTAATTATAGAAGTTCATTCATTAATAAAATGGCACTTTTCAACTTTGCTATATTTAAATTACATCGGTGTCGTTTTTAATTTCAATACAAAAAATTAAAATTTTAATTTCTTATTCACTAACAAAATTTTTAATTTCACTATATTTAAATTGACACTTTTCAACTTTGCTCTATTTAAATTGCATCGGCATTGCTTTTAATTTCAATCCAAGAAATTAAATTCTTTAATTCCCATCTTCAAATTATAGATTGTAAAAATTGAAAAAAATTGTGATTTAAAACAAATGCAAAAATAATACCTTAGCAATTTCAATTTCAAATGCTATAATATCGTTAATATCGTTTATTAATTCTGATATATTATAGCTAATATTAGCTCCGCTCAATACCAATTTCAAAGTTTCCAATTGATATTCCTTATAAGCTTTAAGATGTTTCGGAAACTTTATTAAATTTAAATAATAATCTCGAGTACCACTACCAAGACCCAAATTAGCTTGATCAATCTGCAAATTTCTCCACAAATATTCTTTATTTGAAAAAGAAAAAGCAATGCTTGTTATATTAGTATTCCATTATTTTAAAGATAATAATATTTTAAAGATAAATTAATTCTTATTAAAAATCATTTTAAATTGTTGTTCATAAACCAATTCATAAAAATTTAAAGAATTTTGGAGCAAATTATCAGTAATTAAAAAATTAAATCATTTCTATTTTTAAATGACACATATATGCTATCATTTTAATATCAAAAATGATATATGTAGCATTTTTTTTTAAAAAAATTTTCAACCATCTTAACAATGGTTTTTAATTTACATTTTACATACTTTAAAAATAATTTTAAAAAAATTTACATCCTCTAAAAAAAGGAATTTAAAAATAAAATATTTTTTTTTAAAAATTTACATAATTTGATCAAATTATGCTTACATATAAACCATGAATTGTGGTATTTTTAGATTCAGCATCAATAAAAATTTTGAATAAAATTGGATCACCAAAATTTTGAGTTACTGATGCTATCATATCCGTAATATCAATTATATAATTATTCCAATTATCTTCAAGTAATGGCCATTTACCAATTTTACGGAATATTTCAATTAATTGCCTATAAAAATAAATAATAATAAATTGATATCATTTATAAATTAAATATGTTTATTTTAATCTAATTTAATCTAATTTATAAATTTAATCTAAAAAATTTAACCTAATTTATAAATTATATTCTAAAATATTCCATTTAATTCAATAATTCTTTTTTTTTCAGGCAAAAATTAGAAAAATGTTTTTTTTTTTAAAAAAAAATTTAGAAAAAGAATAAAAAGACATACTCAGTTTTAACAGTGCTAATTTTTTCAACACTCATACATGCTTTATAAAGAATACGAGCCATATCAATGCATTTTGGTGTGATCGTTTCATTTGATTCTAATAATGCTAGAAATTGAAAAAAAAAAAAAATAATAATAGCTTATAGATACTTAAATACTAAAAATTAATTAAAAATAAAATCTAACAATTTATACAATATATTACTTTTCATAATATACTATGGTCCAGAAATTATATAACTTTTTGTTCCATTTAATTCAAATAATGCTAGAAATGAAAAAAGAAAAAAATAACTCATACATACTTAAATACTAAAAATTAATTAAAAAAAAATTTAACAATTTATACAATAAATCTTTTTTTATAATATAATTTAATCCAGGAATTGTATAACTTTTCGATTCGTGTGATTCTAATAATGCTAGAAATTGAAAAATAATAATAATAATAATAATAATAATAATAATAATAATAATAATAATAATAATAATAATAATAATAATAATAATAATAATAATAATAATAATAATAATAATAATAATAATAATAATAATAATAATAATAATAATAATAATAATAATAATAATAATAATAATAATAATAATAATAATAATAATAATAATAATAATAATAATAATAATAATAATAATAATAATAATAATAATAATAATAATAATAATAATAATAATAATAATAATAATAATAATAATAATAATAATAATAATAATAATAATAATAATAATAATAATAATAATAATAATAATAATAATAATAATAATAATAATAATAATAATAATAATAATAATAATAATAATAATAATAATAATAATAATAATAATAATAATAATAATAATAATAATAATAATAATAATAATAATAATAATAATAATAATAATAATAATAATAATAATAATAATAATAATAATAATAATAATAATAATAATAATAATAATAATAATAATAATAATAATAATAATAATAATAATAATAATAATAATAATAATAATAATAATAATAATAATAATAATAATAATAATAATAATAATAATAATAATAATAATAATAATAATAATAATAATAATAATAATAATAATAATAATAATAATAATAATAATAATAATAATAATAATAATAATAATAATAATAATAATAATAATAATAATAATAATAATAATAATAATAATAATAATAATAATAATAATAATAATAATAATAATAATAATAATAATAATAATAATAATAATAATAATAATAATAATAATAATAATAATAATAATAATAATAATAATAATAATAATAATAATAATAATAATAATAATAATAATAATAATAATAATAATAATAATAATAATAATAATAATAATAATAATAATAATAATAATAATAATAATAATAATAATAATAATAATAATAATAATAATAATAATAATAATAATAATAATAATAATAATAATAATAATAATAATAATAATAATAATAATAATAATAATAATAATAATAATAATAATAATAATAATAATAATAATAATAATAATAATAATAATAATAATAATAATAATAATAATAATAATAATAATAATAATAATAATAATAATAATAATAATAATAATAATAATAATAATAATAATAATAATAATAATAATAATAATAATAATAATAATAATAATAATAATAATAATAATAATAATAATAATAATAATAATAATAATAATAATAATAATAATAATAATAATAATAATAATAATAATAATAATAATAATAATAATAATAATAATAATAATAATAATAATAATAATAATAATAATAATAATAATAATAATAATAATAATAATAATAATAATAATAATAATAATAATAATAATAATAATAATATATAATAATAATAATAATAATAATAATAATAATAATAATAATAATAATAATAATAATAATAATAATAATAATAATAATAATAATAATAATAATAATAATAATAATAATAATAATAATAATAATAATAATAATAATAATAATAATAATAATAATAATAATAATAATAATAATAATAATAATAATAATAATAATAATAATAATAATAATAATAATAATAATAATAATAATAGCTTATAGATACTTAAATACTAAAAATAAATTAAAAAATAAAACTTGAAAATTTATACTATATCATAATTTTCATAATATACTTTGATCCAGAAGTTATATAACTTTTTGTTCCATTTAATTCGAATAATGCTGGAAATGAAAAAAGAGAAAAAAATAACTTATAGATACTTAAATACTGAAATTTTAAGATTACTTAAAAACTAAAAGTTTCAAATGAAAAAATCATTTTTAAATAGAATAACATAAGAAAAATAAATTAATTAAAAGATAAAATTTAACAATTCATACAATATATCATTTTTCATAATATACTTTGATCTATAATTTTGTTCAATATTTTTAAATTGTTTATCAAAATACGATATAAATGCAAATCATTAATATTATACATAAATATATTGAAAACAAAAAATTGAATAGTTTGCATTAAAAAAAAATAAATATTTTATTTTTAGAATTTTTCGATACTGAAACAAATTATGGGAAATGAAATGATAAATCAAAAAATCATTTTAACACTTTCAAAAATTATCATTTATTGCTATAAAAAATTGCACTAATAATTACCTTTCATTTGTTTTCGTACAATGTTTGTGGTTATTACAAATGTTCCGTATCCGGATTGATCATCCGGTATCGGATTTTCATGAATCCATCGGCCGCAAGCATATTGAAAAAAGTCATTGCATGGATCGGCTGTTGTATTCATTGAATTTAGCTTGAATTCAGTGATAAATTAACATTCCCATCCTAGATATCTGTATTTCTTTCTAAGACTTTCCTAAAGATTCTATTAAAATATTTCACAGAAAAAAAAAAAACAAAAAACAAAAAAAAAAAGTAAGAAAAACTTATGTCACAAAGTTAATAAGTAACAATAAAAAAGTAAAGTAAATTCGATTATTATTAATAAACTCCTAATTTTCATCATTTCTAAGCTTTTATTGCTATAGGAATTAAAATTAGAATTAAAAAAAATAATTGAAAATAAAATTTCAGTGAGGAAAAGTTTTTTGAAATAAATATTTTAATTTTATCAAACTTACAATATTATGTGCAGCAGTGGCATATCCAATTTCATCAATTTCATTAGTCATTTTTTTGGATAAAAAATTGGTATTGAAATTTGATTTTAATAATAAATCATTCCTATTCAGAATATCATTCGTTAATGCTATAAATGACAAATATATGTAAAAAAAAAAAGTAAAAAAGGAATAATAAATTTTAAATATTATTCTCGAAGAAAATTTATATTTTAATTTCGTTATATTTTATTAATACTAAGAATATTGATTGTACTAAAATATCATTTTCTGGACAAATTTATTTTAATTTTCATGCAAAATCGATAAATAAATATAAGTTCTGTGATTTTCTAATGCAAAATTGCCCAATTTTATTTTTTGATTCAAAACCGGATAACTAACTGGAATACAATCAGGTAAATATACTATCCAAAAAATGAAATTTTCATTTTAGTTTTAAAAAAAAAATCACATCATATAAAATTGCTCTACTTGTATCACATATCGGATTAGTTTTTTCTTTTTTTTTTTTTTATTTTTTTGCTAGTTATGAATTATTGAAAATTATTGTTATTGAATTTGAAAATTTATTGAAACTATTGAAAAAAAAAATTATTGAAATTATTGAAAGAAAATAATTTAATAGCAATAAAAAATTATTGAAATTTATTAATTATAGAAAATATATAAAATAATTATTTTAAAAAAAAAACTGAAAATTATTGAAATTTTAAAACTGAAAGAAAGATATTGAAATTTATTGAAATAATTATTTTAAAAAAAGTTGAAAATTATTGAAATTATTGAAAAAATAAGATAAAATTATTGGAGAAAATGAAATAAAATTAGCTGATTGTCAGAAATAAACTTAAAAGTAGTAAACAAAAAGTTGAAAGTTTATCCTAGCCGAGAGTGAACTATTAAAACAACAAAATGAATCACCGTGAGAAATGATGCATAAAAGTGAAATGCACAAAATTGTAAATTTATCCATAAACTATGAAAAACCGAAAAAAATGGCAGTAATGAATCTGAAATGAATTAATGAATTCTTTTAAATGTTAAATTGTGTATTATTTAAATTTAATCTTTCCACAATTACTATAATAATCATAAAAGTATCACGAAACTATTATCTAAAAAAATTATTTAAGAAAAATTTGAATTCTGGATTACATTAACTGATTTTGAAAAAGTTTTGAAAAAAAATGTGTAATCGAGAAATTTTGCTAAACATGAAATTTTAATCAAAAAAAGTTTGTCTTAGGAGTTTTATTTTATTTTGAAATTTAATTTTTTTTTTCACTTTTTCTTTTTTGAAAAGTTGAAAATTTGGAAATTTAATTTTGAAGCATTGTTTTTCTGTAATTATAATAATCAAAGGATCAATTTTTTACAGTTATAGGTCAAATGCAGTAATTGAGATAAAATTAAACAACAAATTAAAATGTAAACAAAATGAGCAAAAGAGCAGAAAATATAATTTTCATTTTCTTTGATAATAATAAAATAACTAAATGATTAAGTTTTAAAAATAAGTGGAATGAATGAAATTTATATAAAATATATTCAAATCAATTCTTTTATTTTTCTCTCTTTTGCTAGTTAAGAATTAAATTATTGAAATAACAAAATATCTGATTGTTAGAAATAAACTTAAGAGCAATAAATATAATATGTATAATGTGAAATTTTATTCTATTTAAAGGTGAATTGTTCAAACGATAAAAAACAGTGAAATGTGAGAATTATACAAATTTATTCAAAAAAAGAAATGAAATTCCATGTGAAATATGTCGTAAAAAACGATACATTTAAATTATATTTAAATTCTAATACTTTTGTCAAATGTCTGATAAGTCATTCACTAAATAATTTCACATTTGTAACTGATCTATGTGTAGATCATTAGATCATTTAAGCCATTATGCTAATTCCTTTTTCTCACACAATAAAAAAACCCTTTGTTAGCAATTTTTGTTTCACATCAGTTAAATGTCCTCTACCGGATATCTGGTTGTCAGTTCGGTTCTGTATATAAACCAACCGATTCTCCATTACGGTTATTCATTCTACATTTTGAGATGGTTTTTGATATTATTTTAGTGTTTTATAATTATATTATATCTTTCGTTATGCGTTATTATAATATTAATTTGTCGGGTTTAATTACCCAAGTTTGAGGCAAAATAAAATATTTGGCAGTGAATACATTCCACAACAAAATATATTCAAATCAATTCCTTCTTATTTCTTTTGCTATTAATCTAAATTAACACTAAAAAAAATTAAAGTATTCGACAAGTAATGCAACAATTAAAATATATTTAATAGTTTTTTTAAAATGAAAGAAATAAAATAAAATTTGCAATTTAGAAAAAAAAAAAAACTGTGAACAAATTGCAGACAATAATTTGTTAAAATTTACAGTTACATAGGATCAAAATGAAAAAATTGCTGAGTAATAAATCTTCGCTTCAAAAATATATTTGCAAACATTTTTTGATTTGTTTATTGGCTTCGTATTGTGATTGGTATTTCTGCATCCATCAATATTCTTCCACCCATCAGTTAAAAAAATTTTTTTTTTTTTGCCACCCTTTTTTCTTCTATTTTATTGATGAAAATATTAAATGAATTAATCTATTCACAAATATTAAAATAAAGTTAAAAATTAAATTTTGAAAATAATTAGTAAAAATAAGAGAAGTGAAAGTAATAACTTATATTTGAGAAAAAAAAATTATTTCATATTTGGATGATATTTGTTAATTTTAATGTCATTTTTTTTTCCTTTTTTTTGTGTTATTCTATTATTCACAAGAAAGCATAAATATATATTTGAGAAGAAAAAAAAAACATAAATAAATATTTCATTTTGAAAATATTTCATTTTGAAATTGGTTGAAAAAATTTGCTTGCAACACAGAAAATTTGTTAATAAAAATTATTAGCTTAAAATATTAATAAAGAAAAAACTTAATTAAAAAAGGAAAAAAAAAACGAGTTTAAATGCTTTTAATTTTTTTTTTAATAATTAAAATACGAAACAAATGTAACAAATATATTCATTTTACTATTTTTTATTTGTCAAAAAAAAAGTAATGTAGTAGTGGTAATTCCGGATAATCGGTTTCTCCAGAATTCCTGATGAAGTGGACGTTATGAATGCAAGTGCTACACTACTGTACTATTTTATTTGTTAAATTAAACTTTTTAATTGAAATGAATTGATGGAATGAAATAAATTCTTTGAAACATTTTGCTTACAGGTAAATGGGAAACTTACCTTAGGGAAAAATATCGCTGACAACGGTGGCATCAAACAATCATTTCGGGTAAATACTTTATTCCACGAATAAGATTTCAATTAAAAATTTGACATTTTAGCAATCTTTTAACTAAAAGTCTGTTATTTACAGGCATATAAAAAGTATATCGAGCAAATCGGTCATTCTGCCCATAAACTGCCCGGCATGTCAAAGTTCACCGACGAACAAATATTTTTCCTTTCGTTTGCACAGGTGAACAGAATTCAAATTCAGTATCCTTTTAATTTGATCGATTAATTTTATGTGAATTTAATAGCTTTCAAAACTGAAAGGTGAAAGGTGAAATTGTTGTCAGGTTTGGTGTGGCCATCAGACGAAAGAAGCCCAAATCAAGCAAGTGCTTACTAATGAACACAGCCCAGCCAAGTATCGTGTCAATGGCCCACTCTCGAATTTACCTGAATTTAGCCAAGCTTTCAATTGTTCATTTGGAAGTTTATTAAATCCTCAGAAGCGTTGTTCTGTTTGGTGACATTTATATTTATTTCATATCATTTATCAAAGTATTCTTAGCTGTTTATCAATATGTAAATTAATTATTTTATTTCTTAACATTTTGTCACTAACAGACAAAGCTAAAAACAGATTTAATCATTTGTAACCATCGATTATCAGAAAGTGATAAGACCAAAAGTCCAAAAATCATATCAATCGTTCATTCATTGAGATTTTTTAATAAATTTAAATGAGCGCTTCACTCTACGTTCATTTAACGGATGTTGAAATCGACAATTTCTGGGGACAATTCGTCGTAATAATTCCAACTGTATGCAAATGTCATTAAATGCTTTATTACTGTCACATAATTTGAAATTAATTAATTAGTAAATTACTTTTGCTAAATTGTTTTATAGTTTTGCTGTTTACCAATAAAAGTTGTAAATATCATAATTAGACACAAAAGGATACTTTTAATATTGTAAAGATTACCTGTTTAAAACTTATGGTATTGGGATGTTTCAGTACTGTCCAGATGACACACTCATTAAATGGTTTCGTGGTCAGTGACCCCTCGTACGTATAATACGAGTGCTTCACTGTAAGCGTACGTTAATTAGATTATGGGTTCAAGTAATAAATCATCTACCTTTAATTCATATGACACCTATCACCAGTAAAATTGGAATTTACCTGGAAGTAATTTGAGTGGATCAAAATTTGGTTCCAAGTTGACACGGCTTAAACCGCCCAATGAATTATTTAGACCATCAATAATTGGCGAGAAATTTTCATTATCAACTGAGTCTTCCTTAAATCGTTTGCAGTGTGTCAATTTTTTTAAAAAAAATTGAGTTTTCGAATAATAAAACGCAAATGTAATTTATTTATTCATTGCGTGGTTTTTGTCTAAAAACTTCTAAATTTGATTAATTTAATTTCTTTTAAATGCAGAATATAATTGAGGAAATTTGTAGATTGACTTGTAAGATATGATAAAAATTTCTTTTTTCGAGCGAATATATGATATTAACCGCCTTGACATTTGCGCCATTTAATTTATTGATTATTGACTGTTAGTTAATCAAATGAAAATAATAATATAAACAAACAGAATAAAAGAATGTAAACGAACTTGCAAAAAAATAGCCAAAACTGTTAATCCATCACATTTGTTTAAACATTTGTTAAATTCGTTGTATTTTTTGTTCCAAAAAACGAAATGTAGCTGTAAAGGTCAAAGGTTAGGTCAATTTGATGTCATTAAATAGAGGAAAATATTGAAATTCGTAGTGTTTCACTTTTTTTAAAAATTTAAATTATTGTTTAACCTCGGCGGAAAAGCCTTTTCCATTAATTAAATGTTCACTGCCGCAATCTTTTTCTGTTCCCCAATGAGCATGGAATTCCCAAAGTTTGTAAACATCCGGAAGATGTGACGCAGTTAATTCTGAAATTCAATTCATTTATCCGAAATTTGTTGAATTAACGGCTCATTTCTATTTTTTGTTTTTTTCTTTACAATTCTTCAAGAATTACTATTTTTTAAATTTTTAATGAAATCAAAATTTACCTGAAGTACATCCGTTATCAGTTTTACATGAAAAACCTTCGCCAGTGACCTGAAATAATGCAATCAATTTTGTTTGTACAATACTACGTTTAATAGTAATTTGCAATTCGTTAATTAAAGTTAAAATTTCAATCCATCATTTCACTTCGATTGTTTTCAAATCGCCGATCGTATAGGAAAATTGAAGTTTCGATGCTTTCAACATGCTATCCTGATCAGTTATTTCATTTGTAATATCTATTGGACTTTGCTTCTTCCGTGCTTTATTTCCATCTGAAATAAAATAATATTTTCAGTAATTGACTGTGCAAAGTTATAAGTAATTCAGGTTGACAGTAAGACATACTGGAATTACTGGCAAAGATAACCTAAAGAAATTAAAATGATATTTTAAAAGGATCCACTCTCTTATAAGTAATTAAATTAGACTTAAAATCCGATTAATTAAAACTGTATTCCAAATTATATTTTGTTATCAGTTCTGTATACCTGTAATTAAACTATTCTTTTGCATACCTGTAATCGACTTCCTTTTCTTGAGTGTTTTAGTAGAACCATTAGCTGCCATTGAGGTATTTTATTAAATCTAAAGTTTTAAAAAAAAGTTTTTCAGTATTTTGCAGTACGTTTCATATCAGAAAGTCTTCCTAAACTTTACTAATATAATTTCATTTTGCAAGAAATAACCATTTGCAAGACTAAATTTAAATTTTAGTTATAAATTAAATTCCCATTGAAGGACCAAAATAAATTTTTCATTTCAATTCAAAAAAAAAAATTGCTAAGGATGGAATGAAATGAAAATTGAAATAAATACTGCTAGTAATAATTGGCAAGTTAATGATAATATTTCAATTGCTATGGTAATAAATTAGTTTACTTTAATTAATGTTCATTCAAATATTTGAAAAATTCTTTAATTGTTTTTCTCTTTTTGTTTTTTTTGTTTTTCCGAAGAATATAAATTAAATCATTTTTTAAACACAATCTTTAGATGCTAAGATTTAAACTAAATTTTATCAATTGCTATTTTTTTTTTTTTTTGAATAAATCGATTGATTATCCAAATGATCATTAATGTTCTCTGAATATAAATATTTTTAATTTTAGTTCATTGAAATTAAGATTTTTTATCAAACAATTTAATTTAATCGTAATATTTTGAGTTACAAATTTATCAAACGTTTCAAATCTTTCATTTCAATTTTTTTGCAAAATTTCTAAAAATTTAGGCAATTTAATTTGAATTTAATTCAAAATTTTTGAATTCGCTATTTTTAAAATTAAAAGAATCAATTGTTTTCATTATTGATGAATTTTCGTTTGATTTATAAAAACAGAAAATTTCATTTCCGTTTCAATGAATCCGGTTTATCCATCAATTTAGCATACTTTAGAGGGATGCTATTATCATACTTAGTGTCAATCAATAATGCAAGCAAACAAATATTGTTTTCAATATTAGTATAAATAACAAATAACTAATTAAAATCATTCAATATTACCTGTAAAGTATAAAGTATAAATTACTTACTTATAATTATTTAAAATACTAAAAGTAAAATTTTAGGAAATTTATTTATGCAATCAATTCAACAATTGATCGTTTTAATGCAGTACTCAATAAATGCATTTTAATTAATTAAATAACAAACATACATAATATTTTGTTCCAAATGTAGCATAATTAATTTTAATTTAAAATTTAAAAATAAATTTCAATAATTTAAAAATAATTCCACAAAAAAAAACAAACAAACGAAAATGTCATCATTCTTATTCATTTTATTTAATTGAATAAAAAATTTAACGATATGAAAATTTTACAAATGTAAAATAATAGAACTTGAAAAAATTTTAAATACATTTGACAAATAAAATGACAAAAAAAAAAAAAAGAATTTTTTCTTAAATGAATTTTTATAAACAAATGTCCTCCTGTCACCTCTATTTTTAATATCCTTTCAAAAATATTCCGATGAAATGATGCCATGTGACTAATGAAATGAAATATATTGTGAAGAAAACATGTTTTCTATTTTAATTAAAACTGCATTACCAATTTGCAAACTTACTTATCATGCAAAATATGCAAGCAGTTGCGTGCTGCTTTGTTTCGTTTATATGTTATTATTAATTTTAAAACTTTAGTATTAATATAGTTATTCATTAAAATTTCAATAACCATTTAATGCATTAAGCATAAAATGGAAATTATTAATTTTTAAATGCTATATATTAGCAGCTTAAATTAGCTAAAATAAAATGACTAAAGTTCAAAACTTAAGTTAAATTAATCAAATTTAATTTATAATATTTGCAAATGTGAAATTTTCTTTGAGGCATATCTTTTCATATGTTTGCATTTTTGTATTGATGGCAATGAATAAATTAAATTTTATCACATTTAATGTTTGTAACTTAAAATTCAAATATAATTAACTGTTTTAGATTTTCATTTTCTAAAAGGATGAATTAAACAAAATTAATTGAGTAATTTAATTACTGAATTTTATTTCATTTTATTTTATTGTATGTTTTTGATTAAATTAGAAGATGTGAAAATTTTGAATAATATTAAAAACTTTATGGTTGAATTTTTTTAACATTTTTTTTCCAATTTTTTTTTTTTTAGACAAATGAATTATGTTAAAAATTTAAGTAAAAACCTGAAAAGAAAGTTAAAATTTTCTTAAAAATAATAATTTTCATAACTGATTATTGAAAGGAAAGGAAATTTGAATCAATGACAAAATAAAATTTTATAATTTGGCAAATTTTTTTTTAATCAATATTTTATAGGAAAAAAGAGAAAGAGAAAATTTTATATTTTTATAATTATATTTTTTATGATTTATAATTATATTTTATAATATAAATTTTCTATAATATTTTATAATACAAAATTTATAATTAACTTCTCTTGCAATTTTAAAATTATTTAAGAAATTAAAGAATTATTTAATTTCTTAATTATATATTATCAAAGTGTAAATCAATTCTTATATATTAAAATCTTCTTTTCATATTATTCTTTGCTTATCAAACAAATTTTTTCTCCTCTTTTTTGATCAATAAATTATTCATCTTTTATAAATTTTTATATTTATATTAGACAAAACATTTCTTTGCAAAAAATCAAAAAATTGAAAACCAAATTTTAGACATAAAAATTTCACAAAAAAAATCAGTAAGCAATAAAAGTAACTAAAAAATAATTCATTTTCTTGCATAAATTGCAAATATTTGATTATTAAATTGATGTAAACATTTTAATTATTTCTCTAATCTCTTGTTATTGACCTTCATGACCTCTTGGAAGTGACCATCAAAATTTCCTAATAATTAATTTGACAGAAAAACTTTACACTCTCGTAGACATAAAAATTTAAATAAATAATTCAAATAAAAATTACTGGTAGAATTGACCAACAATAACAAATCTTATTTTCATACAATAA